ACTGGGCCAGGCCTGCGCGAGGGGTGAGTCGCGCAAGGCCAGCAGGACCGTCTTAGGGTACATAAGTCCGGCAAAGGGAGTCCATGGAACAGAAGGGAGGATGTTATTTAGCAGTCCTCAGGTCTTCTAAACCAGGGCCGAAAGGGAACAGTCCTCGAAAGACAGTCCTCAAGTCCTCTAGGCCGGGTCCTCTAGGCCGAGGCGGGCCAAGTCCAAGTCCAGGCCCCAAATCCTCACCCGGCCGAGGCCGCTGGAAAGGCCGCTGAGGCCGCCAAGGCCGCTGGGAAGGCTCCAAAGCCACCGAAGAGGCCGCCGAAGAAGCCACCAAAGCCGCCGAAACCGGAACGGCCGCGCCCACCTCAGCTCCGGCAATGTGAAAAAAGCCGCGATACGTTGTGACACGTCATGTGACGCGGCAAGTTTAACAACCATGTTCTAAGGGGTTCAAACCAGTGGTGGGATTCAAATACCTGAACAACTGGTTCTCTTATTGGATGCAGGCCTGGTCATCTGAGGCCTAGAACGGACATCCGGAAGTGGCATCCATGCACTTCCAGCGGGCCATTTTAGGCCTGGGAGGCCTCCTCCAGGCCTCTGAGGCCTAGAATGGATTTCCAGAAGCAGTGTGCATTCGGCCGGTTCTCCGAACTGAGCAAAATTTAGCTACCAGTTCTGCCGAACCGGTGCAAACTGGCTAAATCCCACCACTGGTTCAAACCCTCTACTGAGAATTGAACTGATAGATGGTCACACTTTAGATGACCTTATACAGTGTAATAACTTTGTAATGCCGTGAACTCTCTTTTCTTAGAGCTTATGGGGAGGTGGGCTTATATATGCCATTCTGATAGCACCTAGATACCCCTTCCGTCAAGATCTGAATGCCAGAGATAGGATGGCTTTGAAAGCTAATGTAAAGCTTGCTTCCTTCTTCCCCATGGTGACACAATTCAAGGTTACTGAATATGAAGATGTACGAATTACCCTATTTGCACCTACAACTCTAGCAACCTGTATGGCTTTTAAGACCAAAAACATTGGCCATCTATGGAGTAGTTAGTGATGGTAATAATAAAGATCAATAACCGTATAGTTCTGGTTCCTGTCCCTTGTCCACAATAACTTACTCTGCATTACTGTACCCAAACAGAGTTTCATATGCCACCTGCTGATCTCCAACAAGCTAGTTAATTATTTGTTTATTTATTATAGTAATTTGTAATATATCATTCAAACTCTAGGTGGTTTGAATTACTCAACCACTGTGGAGCAAAATTAAAATTAAATTGACTAAACTGTCAAGAATTGCTTTCCATTGCATATTTGAAATGACACAGTGTCTGTTACAGTGCAAATAATTCCTGCAAATAATCATAAGTAAGATGGTATATCAAAAAGGCTTAATATATTAATATTAAAATATATTATCACTATTCAGTTGATAATCAGATCTGTTGAGCATCATGTGACATATAATTTGTCTGTATTCCATGTTAAATTAATGTTAAATTAATGCTCAGAGTTGAGTTTCTTGTCCTTTCAAATTGGTTATTGATAAATAAGTATTCATGTCTAGGGTTTCAATTAATTTATTCTTTCATTCAATAGGAATATATATACCCAGATGCTAGAGATAGGCAGTACTTACTGTTTTTCCATAAAGGAGCCAAAAAGACACGTTTTGATCTAGAAAAATACAATCAACTCAAGGATGCTATTGTTCAGGTAATGAAAATAAATCCTTGGAGGAAATTGGAGGAAAATAGAAAATTGTCCCATGTTAGTTCTTGAAAATTCAGTAATTCTTTGATCTGGTTTCCTCATGTTTCTCTCATTTGTATTCCAAAAGACACTGTTATTTACAGCTGATTTTATAATGTTAATATAGATTTCAGCCCAGAAGGAAGTTAACATAGCTGATTAAACCTGCAGGACATTGGAAAGATAAAGCACTATAGGTAGTTCTTGACCTATGACCACAATTGAGATTGGAACTTCCATCATTAAATGATGCAGTTATTACATACGTTATGTCCAATTTGACATCTTTTATTGTGGTCATTAAGCAAATCAAATGGGTGTTAAGCGAATCTGATTTTGCTTGTTGGATACCCCCGGAAAGAGTTGCAAATGGAAATCACATGACATCGTAACAGCCCTGATTTTTGATCACATGACTGCCGGGATGCTGCATTGGTTGTAAGTCACCTTTTCAGCACAGTCATAATTTTGAATGGTCTTTAAATGAATGCTCATAAATCAAGGACTATCTTTAGTGTGTTTTCCAATGTAAAATAAGCAAACATACATTCAGAAATGTATGTTTTTGCCTGTGCACCTGTGGTCTCTTTCTTCAGACAATTGATTATGTCTAATAGCAACTAAACTCCATATATTTTGTCTACCATATTACTCAGGGGCTTTCTAAGGCAATAGAATATGGATATAAAATATATATAAAGGCTACATAATACATACACACACACTCACACACATGTACATATGTATGTATCTATGTATATAAAATGTTTAATTTGAGATGCTTGGTATAACCTTGAATTCACTAGATGTAAATTTGGAGGGTTTCACTAAGTTGTGTGAAGAAAGAAGGCAAAAGAATAGATGGAGAACTTGCAAAAGAAAAAAATCTGGCCCTGGAACCTTATCATCTCTTAGGAATAATTATTCAAAGTTGTTTTCAATGGATGGCATCTGATTTTCAGAATTGCCAGGTATCCATTATTTTACCAATCCAATTACTAAAATGCCTGCATTCCATGATTTGACCACATTACAATGCAAAATACAGTAAATTTCAAGATTGGGCCAATATGGGTCCAGTTTCATCAGACTCACCATGGTTTGGATCTAATCAATATTGCCTAACTTAATTCACTGGTATATTTGAAACTGTTGATGGCCATTCCTTCCTGTTGGAAATGCTAGTCTTACTGCCACTGGCATTATCTCAGCTTCCATAGAACATTAACAGACTTCGTTTACATGAAAAGTAAGCATTCATTGGAATGGGATATACAGGTAGTCCTCAGCTTACAACCATAATTGAGCCCATTACTAAGCAAGACAGTTGTTAAGTGAGTTTTGCCCCACTTTGCAACCTTTCTTGCCACAGTTGTTAAGTGGATCACTGAACTTGTTAAGTTAGTAACACAGTTGTTAAATGAATCTGGCTTCCCCATTGACGTTGCTTGTCAGAAAGTTGCAAAAGCTGATCACATGACCCTGGGACACTGCTATCCTCATAAATACAGGGCAGTTGCCAAACATCCAAATTTTGATCACATGACCATGGGGATGGTGCAACGGTCGTAAGTGTGGAAAACAGTCACAAATCATTTTTTCCCCCAGTGCCATTCTAACTTCTAATGGTTACTAAACTAATGGTTGTAAGTCAAGGACTACTTGTGCATATAGTCTAAGATGGGTTCAACACTTTTGTTTACCTCATGGGAAATTTCCTCGTTGTTGTTTTTTTGTGATGACCTTTTGTGAATGTGGATATGACGACTTGGAATAAGATTACCTGTAACTCCGCTGCCCCCAACCTTTTCGGCTCCAGGAACCGGTTATTTGGAGAGCAGTTTTTCCTCAGATAGAGGAGTGTGGTTTCACACGCTGCCTGCATCCTGGGTTTGTGTGGATGGGGCTTCTCTCTTGCTTGCGTGGCCTGCTTCCTGGCAGGTCACAGACCGGTGCTGGTCCACAGCCCAGGAGTTGGGGATCCCTACTGTAATGCATTACACTAGAGTATGACGGAGAGAAATATGGTACTGATGTCTTCATTTTATTGATTTTTTTTAGGCAGAATTGGACCTTAAGAGACTTCGGGATCCCTTACAGGTACATCTACCTGTCCAACAAATCAATGATAAAGACTGATAATCAGAGGAACCTCTGTATCTTGACAGAAATGGCAGATCTTTTCAAGCTCTTGCCTCTTTCATTAGAAAGCATTTCAGGTGGAAGCTGGGAGATCTTCTTGGGGTGGAGGGTTTTTAAATCATTAAAACAGAAACCTTGACTGGGGAAGGGGGTAATGTGTTCAGTGAAAATAATAATAATAATCAGGCACTGTGGAATGTTAAGTCTTTTCAAAGGGCTTAAAGATTGTCTCATTCAAACGTTTTTTCTTTTGGATGAAAATATATATTATAAAGGTGGGCATTTCATGAAGAAATTTTATCGGGGACATATTTTTCCAGCTTTGCAGTGTCTGCCCCTTGAAGAAGCACCAGCAGCCTGCTCAGCATTTTTTTTTAAATCTCTTTCAAACAATTGCACAATAATAGTGCACTAAACAAAAGAAGGAAACAATCAAGCCATTTTAAGACACCATGACTGGTGATCTAGATTGAAATAATGTCTCCATTAATCTGCAATCCAAGATTGGATCTAGTGTGTCTTGTTTTGTTTTGTTTTGTAATAGCAATGCAAAATTTCTTCTCACTCCACAAAAAAACAAAAAAAAAACAAAAAACCTCCACCTAAAACATTTTCCTCCCTGTCTGTTTACTGTCAAACAAACTTTCTCCTATACTGAAAGTTTATTGATGTTATCAGTTTTACCGGAATCACAAACTGAATAATTCCTGTTGTGAACATTTGAACATGGAAGTATTCCCACATATCTTCTTCAGCTTCACTGCCCTGATCAACTTTTACACATAAATAGTGATGTTGCATGAGAAAACTGTTCATATGCAGTCTTAAGGGAGGAATGTTTCTTCCCCCTACTCTTTCTCCCTCCAAATAGGGTAATCATCCGAATTAAAGCAAATCAAAGAATTTGGGCCTATGGTGATGCATATATGTATGCAGTACTTGACTTGAGATCATGACGCTTTATGAAGTCCCTTTAAAAGAGGGAGGATTAAATATTATGTTTGCCTAGCAGAATAACTATGGCTTGATAAGCAAAAGACTACAGTTGCACTTTGATCCACAATCCGCCTCTTCTTTAAGTAGCTTTAAAAGAACGAGCTGGTGCTGAAGGGTTAGGGTTTCTGCACACTAGCAGATGCAGTCCCTCCATCCCTAAAGGGCGTGGGAGAAAGGCAGTGGCCTCCACCACCTGCTAGAAGCCCGATAATCTTGTCTAAGCAGAACTTCCATCTTGTGCTAAACGGAACCCACGGCCTACTCTGTTGTCCTGTTGATAGATCCTGGGATGGCAGGATAAGAGATGGAAGCTCATTCTCACAAAGCTTGGAATTTCCCTTCAGTTCACCGCCTTTTCACTGTGTCAAGGCAAGAGTCTCCCACTTTCGGAGGAACCATGTTTTAAAGTGTAAAATAAATATAAACCAGACGCCAGGTGCCTTGCAGATGGGATGGTCGCTCCTTCCTCGCCCTCAATGGCATGTTGAGCTGAATGGATGCATGTTCCAAGATGTTTCCTCTTCCTACTTCCTTCCCGTCTTTCTCACTCTAATTATGTGGCTATTTTTTTTAATTTTAGAAAAAAATAAAAATTGTTAAATTATCTGTTCATCCTCTTCGTATGCAGCATTTTAAAAAGGAAGAACGCAAACAGTCCTGTAGCAGAATTGTCTTGAGTGTGTTTGGGGTGAGGGAGGGGGCATGGAGAAAAGACCTTAAAAAAAATAATAATGAACATGTGTACAATCCTGTATCATTTATTAAATATGTATAAAAGAGAAATGTACTTCTGGAACAATAAATAATTATTCTGTTTTTGAACTGTTGTCTTGAAATTTTTTCATGCTCAATTCAAGGGAGGCTCAAGGAACATGTGAACTTGGGTGTAGCAAACTTCCATTCTTTCTGTCTATAAACAAAATGTCTTGAACTCTTGATGTGTCTTTGTGCCTGTTCATGTATTACAAAAATGCAGCACAAAAATATTTCAATATAGGAAATGAATCCCATAAATCATGGCATATCATTTTATTTACAGACTTTTAAAATGTGTTTCATCTACATTATAGGTATTTTCATAATGGATTTGCTTCATCTCTCTCTTTCTATCTCTCTCTCTTTCTCTCTCCCTCTCCCTGCCTCCCAGTTATTTAAGTATATTTATAAGTCATTCATATATAGATGATATCTCTTTTATGTTTTCTAAATTAAGCACTTGTCATTAGGGATGGCACACATTTTTATTATGTAGCAATTCAATTGTCAATCACAGGGAAAATCAAAGTCTTGGACATGATGCCAGTGATATGGACAAACAGGCTGGCAAAGTTATGGGATGGAGACATCAACAAATGATATTCCAATACTTTTCCAGTAACATTATTGCAAAATGAATTGCTAGTCAAAGAGTAGCAAAAATGAAACAGCTGTATCTTCTTTCTACATAAAGAATGATATACCAAGAATGTAAACCTAGCATTATCCCTAATACCACACATTCTGTGTGGGCAATTTTTAAATACCTCTTTTTATTTGATACCACTTTCATGTACAACAATGTGTGATCATATAGCACCTGTAAGCACTGGGGCAAATGTAAGAGCTCATTGCCTTTTTCTTAATGGTGTGTGCAGATGCTGCTTATGTTGATTCCACCATTTTGAAAATATAAATAGTGGATTCATACAATATACAAACAAAGAATCAAGATTACGTGTATTGTTAATACCATTTTATAATGCCTTGGTAAGACCACACTTGGAAAATTGCATCCAGTTTTGGTCGCCATAATATAAAAAAGATGTTGAGACTCTAGAAAGAGTGCATAAAGAGCAACAAAGAAGATTAGGGGGCTAAAGGCTATAACATTTGAAGAATAGTTGCAGCAATTGGGTATATCTAGTCTAATGAAAAGAAAGACTAGGGACAACATAATAGCAGTGTTCCAGTATCTAAGGGACTATCCCAAAGAAGAAGGGGTCAACCTAGTCTCCAAAGCAGCTGAAAACATAAGAAGCAATGGATGAAAACTAATCAAGGAGAAAAGCAACCTAGAACCACTGAGAAATTTCCTGACAATTAGAACAATTAATCAGTGGAATGATTTGCTTCCAGAACTTGTGAGTTCTCCGACACTGGAGGTTTTTAAGAAGAGATTGGACAACCATTTGTCTGAAATGGTATAGGATCTCCTGCTCGAGCAGGGGGTTGGACTAGAAGACCTCTGAAATCCTTCCAACTCTGTTATTCTCTTAAGTTAATGCAGTCAGATCAAAGGCTTTCCTAGTCTAATACTGAATCTCCATTATCCAGATGCATATGGAAAGCCCACAATCAAATAAAGATCTATTTGTCAACTCTACAATGAGCCTAGCTGCAGCCATCTTTCTCATTTTAGGTTGCCACCTGCCAAGGAGGGAGAGGTTTTTTCACACTTTCACAGACTCCTTGCTAGTCTAAACAATATTCTGTCCCATGGGAATCAAGGTCATCTCTTACTCCCGGGACTAGGAACAGGGCGGTGTATTAGAAAGTCCGCCAAACATATCTTGGGGAACGTAGTAAAATGCATATTCTTGGGGGTGGGACATTAAGGCAAGGAAGCTTGCCTTAATGCTGCTATTTAATTGGGCTCACTGTAATAATCCTTTCAAAGCATGGACACAGCAACTAATCATAAGAAGTAAATTGCATTGGATGCTGAAAATGATTTGGGTTTTTTAAAAGTTGCCATGGGTGTAGTCACTACTAATTATGCAGCCGTAACAATCTTGCGATTGTAAGATTGATGAATGCTATGCAAAGAAGACTTGCTTTTATATGCCCAAATCTTTCACCAATTTTTTTTGCATCATTTTGTAGATATTGTAGCATATTCCTCATTGTTATTTTCACAACAACAAAAATCCTCAAACACAAAGAAAGTGTATCTATGGCGATTCTCAGTCATCCAGGTCATGGTTATCCCATGGTTGAAAAAAGGTGCTTTTTTCAAAAGACAACTGGACTTTCTTTGTTTTTCCTTGAAGACTTTTTGTTTCTCATCCAACAAGCTTCTTCAGTTCTGACTGAGTCAGAACTGTTGATTGAGTCAGAACTGAAGAAGCTTCTTGGATAAGAAGCGAAACGACTTCAAGGAAAAACAAAGTCCAGTTGCCTCTTGAAAAAGCACCTTTGGGACAAGGAAAGCATATGAGTTTCTTTTTCCCAGCTGTTAACCTTTCTTCCTTTTCAGCTCTATGTAAACATTTTGAACTCTACAAATATGTTAAGGACTATAATCAGAACTATATTAAAAGCATGGATGCACTATAGAATTATATAAATACAATGTGAACTGACAGATTTGTTTTAGATTCCTTTCCTAATTATCTCCTATGTAGCATTAGCATCTTTTACAGAAGGCATACATTGGCACAATATTTTCTGGAACTCAAATTTTGACTTCTCATTACCATTTGAGGCTCAGCACAGAACCTGGATGTTGCTCTTTAATAATTGACAAATTCTCAAGACAACCTCTTATCTTGCTAATGGACTGTGAAAAGTTTTTTGAAAGTCTAAAGAAGAATACAATACTGGATTTCTATCTACATGCCTGTTGACCTTCTGAAGAATTTTTAAGATTAGTGAGGTGGGACTTCCAGATACTGCCTTGTTTTTCTTTATATCCTTGTACTTTTAGTAATGACTTAAGCGAGTTAATCCAGAAAAAAACTTGCTTGTAATTTCTTTCATCAGTATTATGTACTCCTTTACATTCCTCCAGAGTGTAATATATTAGAATACTGAAGTTCTTATAGAAGAGAATATAGCTAGCTCAAGAATGAACTGTAGAATCCACCAGGAATGAATTCATCCACCAGGACTCCAAGGTCCCTCTCACAGATACTGTTTTTGAGCCAGGTCTCGCCTAATCTGTATTTATACCTTTGATTTTTCCTGCCTAAATGTAAAACTTTGCTTTTCTCCACATTAAAATTCATTTTGTTGGATAGGGCCCATTGTTCAAGTTTGTCAAGATCTTTTTGGATCCTGAGCTTGTCTTCTGGGCTATTGGGTATTCCTGCCAGTTTAGTGTCATCTGCAAATGAGTCCCCCTTCTATTCCCTCATCTAAGTCATTTATGAAGATATTAAAGAGTACTGGGTCTAAGACGGAGCCTTGTGGTACACTATTGCTTACTTCTCTCCATGTGGATGTAATATCATTGAGGACTATTCACTGAATATGGTTTGTCAGCCAGCTACAGATCCATCTGGTGTTGATGTTGTCTATCCCAGCTTTTTCTAGCTTACTAAGCAGCAGGTTGTGGTCTACTTTGTCGAATGCCGTACTGAAATCTAAGTATACTATGTCCACAGCATTTCTCTGGTCTACTAATTGAGTCACTTTATCAAAGAATGAAATAAGATTGGTTTGGCATAATCTGTTATTAACAAACCCCTGCTGGCTACTAGTTATAACTTTGTTTGCTTCTAGTTGTTTGCAGATCTGTTTTTTTGATTATCTTTTCCAGGATCTTCCCAGATATTGATGTTAGGCTGATTGGTCTGTAGTTTCCTGGGTCTGG